TAAAAGCTAATGTCTTCTCTTTTTTTTTTTTTCTTTCATCTTGGTTGCAGGAGATAAACATCTTTTATCCCTTATCTCATACCACTCGCATATTATGTGATTCGAACTCAGGACTTTGAACTTAAAACTTCTTATTTTGAACGAAAGGAGATGGTTATTGAGTTATTTAAGTCGTTGACTATGGAATGATGTTTTATGTCATCATTTGTAGGAAGGGATGGTTTAACTCGCAACATTCTGAATGACATTTATACTCGCAACATTCTTTCCCCTGTTTTTTTACTTTTGGTTAGCTTGGTTGATGAAGTTTTTGGGTCAAACAAAAGATGATGAATAAGAGAATTTTATCTATTAGTATAGTTTCCCATAACATTTTTTTTTTTAATTTGTTTTTGCTGTAGACCATTAGCAAATTAGCTGAGAAAGCTATAGGCTTATGTTGGTACTTGGTAGGTCTGAAATAGGAACTAGGAGGCATCTTGAATGTGCAGAAGGTGGTTATCTTAATCAATTAGTGCATTAAAAGAAACTGACTATGATGCCCCACAATGGTCTCCGTGCCCTTTCTTGTTGGGATGAGCTTGTATTGGTTTTAGTTTCTGAAATAGTGAGAGGGACATTTAATTATGATTGGTTTGTGGTCCTAACTTGTGCAAGTCTTTGTTTAATTAATTCTACATTATGCAGCTATCAATGTTTGCGTGCGTGTAATTTTATTATTTTTGGTTTGCAGTCCTATGTTGTGTAACATGTTTGACATTTCATTTTCCATCCTGCAGCTATCAGTGGATTAGACGGAAAGGAAAACCTGCTCCAAGGGAGGTTGCTCCAGTAGTTGTATCTAACCATATTTCATACATTGAACCTATCTTCTATTTCTATGAATTATTTCCTACAATTGTTGCATCAGAGTCCCATGATTCCATACCCTTTGTGGGAACTATTATTAGAGCAATGCAGGTAACCTCATTATCCCCTTAGAAAGTAAACTTAAGCTACATGCTAGGTTTTTTTGTACTTGCATGAATATGCTCGTAGTTTTCAACTTTTGTAACTGGTATATCCGTATGTTTTTTTAAGATTGTTATTGGTATTTATTGTACCATCAGTCTCATGCTCATCCTCTTATATCATCAGGTGATATATGTTAACAGGTTCTCACCCTCATCAAGGAAGGATGCTGTAAATGAAATAAAGGTAGAAAGTTATAGATTCCCACAAGTGTATTGTTTATCTGAGTTCTTCTTTTTCATTTTTTCCATTTTAGATCAGCTTATCTGAATTCTTGTTATTAGCCATTAGTATTCTGTCCCATTCTCATTTAAGGATTAAAAAAAAAAAGAAAAAAAAAAAAAAAGGATCTGTGATGAATCCCTCAGTGGTCCCAGCTCCCCACTTTCTCTATATTTATGCTGCTTCTTTTCTGATGCGTGGTGTTTACTTCAATGCTTCCCCCTTTCTTTCTATTGCTCCATCTGATGCGTGTTATTTAATATCTAACTTTTTATTACTAAAGAACTGCTTACCCTTTTTTTTCCTAAAATTCCTATGAATGAAGAATTGGCCATACTTTATGGGCGTACTCATGCATGAAATTGAATCTGTAAAAGTCAACTTTATCAAGAAAATTTAAATGATTTTTATCAATTTATTAGCTATTTGATACAGAATTGTGCTTTCAAGGATCTGAATACAGAGAAGGGCTTCCAGCGATAGATTTCCTAGAGTGCTATTATTTCCGGAGGGAACTACAAC